CAAGCAACAAATGCTGGTGAGGTTGTGGAGAAACTGGAACCCTTATTCACTGTTGGTGGGAGTGTAAAATGGTGCAACCACTGTGGAAGGCAGTATGGCGCTTTCTCAGAAAGTTGCAAATAGAGATACCATTTGACCCAGCAATTGCACTACTGGGAATATACCCCAAAGAGACCATAACTGACATCCAAGCAGATACATGCACACCCATGTTTATTACAGTTTTGTTCACAACCTAAGTGGAGTTGGAAACAACCTAAGTGCCCATCAACAAATGAATGGATAGAGAAGCTGTGGTATATTCACAAAATGGAATACTATGCTGCACTGAAAAAGGAGGAACTCATGCAGTATTGTTCAAAATGGGTGACCCTGAAGGACATTATGCTGAGTGAAATATCTCAGTCACAAAAGGACAAATACTGCATAGTGCCATTATTGTAAAACAGGACTGACCTTGGAGTTGGGGAGAGACTGAGAAAGATGGTTTCAATAATGTATTGAAACTGCACTGAAACAGATGAGGGAGAAAACTGTTCAAAAGGGATTAGGTATTTTTGTCATGACGGGAATCCAGAGCGAAGGCTGCATAGTGGAAAGTAACTGGGGGGAGGGATTGTAAAACAATGAAAGAATTTTTCTTTTACTTTTCCAAGAGGGTAGTGTGCTGGGTGGGGAGGATTAGAAGGGGAGAAAAGTGCACCAATGAATGAATGGAAACCCAAAGTCTCTCTAAATTTTCATTGAAATTAATAGTAAATTTTTTTAAAAAAAAGAAAGATTCTCACCACTGGGCCAGTTGGCAGCATCGTGATGGATGGTGAAGAGATTGAAAATGTTAACAGCTTTAATTTGCTTGGCAGCACAATCAACACTCTTGGTACCAGCAAACAGGAAATCAAGAGACTAATGGCATTGGGAAAGTCTGCTATCAGGGACCTCTCCAGAGTACTGAAGAGCAATGATATAAGTCTGGAGACTAAGGTGCACCTGATCCAGGCCATAGTATTTGCATTTACTATAGAGAGCTAGATAATGACTGGGGATGATAGAAGAACTGATGCCTTTGAGCATCAGTGGTACTGGAGAATAGTGTTGGCTATACCATGGACTTCTAGGAGAACAAACAGGTTCATCCTGGAGAAGGTGGAACCATGCTGCTCCTTGGAGGCAAAGATTCTGAGGCTTTGTCTCACATACTTTGGGCTTGTTGCAAGGAGTGACAGGTCCCTGGAGAGGGGCATCATGCTTGGAAGAGTGGAGGGATGGAGAAAGAGGGAGACCATTAATGAGATGGATTTATACAGTGACTGGGGTGATGAGAGTAGGTGTGTTGGAGACAATAAAGGATAGAGCAGGTTTCAGGGCTGTTGTACATAGGGTCGCTATGAGTCACAAGTGACTTGACGGCATGTAACAACAACAATAATGGTGGAGGAATTGTGTTGCCAACTCAAGGGCAGACAGGTGGGCAGTTTGAATCAGCCAGCTGTTCCAAGGGAGAAAGGCGGTCTCCTGCAACGTCATTTACTGACTCTGAAAACCCTCTGGAGGGTCAGCTATGAGTCAATTCCAGTTTAATGGCACCTCACAACAAGAATCTGACCTCTGTACTGAGCTGGGTGTTGGAGGAAAGATAAATCTCTCAGGAGCTCGTATGTGTCTAGTCACTTCATTTATTTCCTCGCTTGATCACATTCTTTCAGAGGAAAAAAAAAACCAAAAAATACACCAAACAGCTGCCATGTTATCACAGTAGCTTGACCAAGATAAATTATGATGCTTTCCTGGAGTTTAGGAAACATTCCGTAAAAAATGTATATATTTAATATTTAGTGAGAAAAGGGGAAAAAAGTGTCAAAAAGATTGTCATATAAACTTCAATTTTTAATTTATATATTGCATTTAGTACTTTTTTAAAATGTCTTTTTGTTTTACATAAAACAATTTGTTTACATTGTTTCATTCATAGCATTTTAGTATTTTTTTTAATTGAGTACTTTCAAATAAATTTTCCCAATTTTTTTATTATTCTTTACAACCCTGTGACATGTCAGTATCATCCCCTTCTTACCAGTGAAAAAGTTGAAACTAGAAAAGTAAACTGTGGTCACACAGCCAGTAAATAGAACCATGATGTGAACCCAAGTCTTGGCTTCCTGGCTGGGTGCCCTTTCCACTCTGGTATGAGAGTCGCTTCACAGTTGGCATAGGTAAAGATTGTTTAGGGGACAGATTTTTAGTTGGAGCACAAACTTCTGTAAAGGGTAAGAATGGAAATTCATGTTGAGACCAGTGAAGTGCTTCCTTCTCTATGGAGATGCTACATCATGGGGCCATCTTATAAGGACACCCTCTGTGATATGCATGCCAGCTCTTATCGTTAATTTATGGATACCTTTGGGCTTTGGGTTTTGTCTGTCTTCATTAAAGTGAAACCACTTTATTACTGTATTTCTTAGTGGCCATTAAATAAATCAGCAGATGTATGAGTAATGTGTAGCAATGGAACTTATTAATAATTGAGAGCCTGAAATAGACTTTTGTTTTTGTAGCTTGCCAAGAATATTGGGAATGCAGGCTTTAATGAGATTATGGAGTGTTGCCTACCAGCTGAGGACTCTGTGAAACCCAATCCAGGCAGTGACATGTAAGTATGAGACTGCGCTGTTCTCATCCAACGGACAAAGATTCGCCTTGTACCCCAAATGCTTAAAAGTAGGGAAACAAGTTTTTGAGAATAACAGTTGTTACATTCTTAGGGTTACCCTTTTTTCCTCCCTGCACTTTAATCATGTTTGTCTACTCATCCAGGTGCTAAAAGATTTTCTGTTTCAACTTGGGTTTTGGGCTTTAGAATTTTATAAAGAAATTCTAAGGTGGGGGTGGGGGTGGCGGGGGGCGGGGGTGGTCAGGACCAACCCATCACTGAACCTCCAGCAAGTTTTCAGAGGCAGCTAATTGCAATGGAAGAGCTGGTCCATCTTCTCCCACAGAGCAGCTGGTGGATTTAAACAACGTGCCTTTGGATTGACAGCACAATACCTTACTACGAGGCCTCATGGTAGGAAGCTGTGCTGCAATCCCCGAGGCAGGCAGTTCAAATCCACCAACTGCTCCTTGGGAGGAGGATGGACAATCTCTTCTTTTACAATTTACTGCCTCTGAAAACCCACCAGAGAATCAGCTATGAGTAGATCTCAACTCAGTGAGTTGAGTAGATCTCAACTCAGTGAGTTGAGTAGATCTCAACTTATAATAGGCCACCAGAGCACCCTAATTTGGTTATTACAAGTCAGAAAATGATGAGGAAACATGCCTCTGTATTAGTGTTGCCTGGGTTGGACAGCCTTCAGAAGATTTTTCTTCATCTCTTGACTCTTTTTGGCTGTCCAGGTAAAACTGTTGTATGTCTGTGTTTTACGAAGAGGCCAGAGGAGAGATTTGGTGACTGCTCTGCACGTGTAAATGGGATGTTGTGTAAAGTGTCTACACACAGGCCATCACTGCCGGTGACATGTGTCCACACACAGGCCTTTTTTGCTTCTGCTGTTTATCCTCCTTTGTCACTTTCCCATCTTAGTTCTCGCTGCATAAATTCTGATCCACTGAAGGGTTAGTTGTCATAGATACAGAATTACATGTCATTTTCTTTGCCAGTGTCCTTGTAACCGGAGGATGTGTTCTTTCCTTTTATTAAAAAAAGTGTTTGGTTTTGCTTTACTATTGATACAAAACTTGACTGAGAAGTGTTCGTGCCTCATCGTGTATTTCTTTTTCTCATTCCAGCTTGCCCATTGAGGCAAAGCTTACTTACAACAAAATTTTCTTGAGAATCTCAGCAAATAAAGATTAAGTCACCCAAATCATAGTATGTCCTTGAGAAGAGGTGGATTAGGAAGATGTGCATGGGCAGTGAGTATCTTGGCCCAACTTTAGACCACAGCTGTTTTAAAAGGATGGCCTTTCTGCTTGTAAGGGGATTTGGTGGTGGCTTCCCTGCTATCCTGCAACGCAGAATGAGGCAGACAGCAAGACAGAGAAAAAGAGGTCACCAGACAAATTAGAAGAGACAATACCTATATTGGATTGTGAGTTGGGCTTAAAATGTTGGGGCACGAGAAGTGAAAATGGGGGGGGGAGGTAATAAGAGAAAACATAAGACTTCATTTCAAAGGTGCTATTTTCTTGAGGATAAGGCTGAAATAGGATTGATGATGTGGGTCCTGCTATAGGACACTGAGTAACAGGAGAACAGTGGCTTCAGAGTAGTGTTATGGATGGATGGTAGTGTACCTGTATAAGTTGTCACATCAGAACCAACTCATAGCCGACCTTCCAGTGGGTTTTCAGAGGCTGTTTGCACAGGAGAAAATTGCTCATCTTTCTCCCTCAAAGCAGCCAATAGATTTGAACTGCCCAGTAGGGATTGTCCCGATTATGTGGAAATATTTCTTTGAGAAACTGAGGTTGCAGGAGCTGTGTTTTTAGCTTTCTGATGATGTAACTATATAGTGAGGGAGCTTACACCATTCACAGGAATCAATAGCAACCATGTCTAATGTAGCCTTTCTCAGATATCAGGTATCTTAGTTAGTGTTGGATTAAAATCAGTTTCTGTTCAAATCCTGTAAACTTGTGTTTGTGGTATAGCATTTCCTTGAGATTGTGTAATGTGTGGTTTTAGATATCAAGCATGAGGCTTACAAAGTTAATATCCTTTCTCAGAGTAAAGCTAAGTTTCTTAGATTTCTAATCTGTGTTCTTAACTCAGAGCTGGAGGGGTGCAATGGACATACACAGTGAGTCCATACGTGACTCACAGGCCCTTGGCATGTTATCTAACTTTGCTCAACCTCAGTTTCCTCTGATGGGAAAGGCGAGCTAGCACTGTCTCCCCCACAGCGTCACTGGGGAAGCTGGCGGTGAGCTGAAGGTGGACTTGCTTTGGGTGCTTGGTTTTAACTGCTTACTTGCTCAGCCCAAGTGTGACAACAAGAGGTACTCTGCTTTGGTGCGACACACTTTACAAAAATTAAGGTTCTCTCCGGGTAGTTCTCTCTTCCTAAGAGAACTGAACCATCTTGTTTTGTTGAGAATTTATGGTCCAGTAGGAAAAGTTTATCTGTTGCTGTTTAATTGACACCTGTTCTTCAATATAGATTGAAGCTCAATATCAAGAAAACAAGGATTCTTACCACTGGACCAATTGGCAGCATCAGGATGGGTGGTGAAGAGATTGAGATTGTTCACAGCTTTAGTTTTCTTAGCTCCGCAGTCAACACTCTTGGCACCACCAGCCAGGAAATTAAAAGATGTATTGCGATGGGAAAGTCTTCTGTTAGGGACCTCTCCAAGGTACTGAAGAACAGAGGTGTCTCTCTGGAGACTAAGGTGCACCTGATACAGGCCATGGTCTTTGCAATCACTTGCTGTACATTAGAGAGCTGGACAGTGACTAGGAATGATAGAAGGAGAATTGATGCCTTTGAGCTGTGGTGCTGGAGAAGAGTATTGAATATACCATGGACTGCTAAGAAAGTGAACATGTTCGTCCTAGAGAGGTTGAGGCCGGGCTACTCTTGGAAGCAAAGATTCTGAAGCTTTGTCTGACATACTTTGGACATGTTGCAAGGAGGGACCAGTCCTTGGAGAGGGAGGTCATGCTTGGGAGGGTGGAGGGACAGTGCAGGAGAGGAAGACCTTGATGAGATGGATTGACTAAGTGACTGGGGTAATGGGGGTGAGTGTGTCAGAGACAGTGAGATTGGCAAAGGATAGGGCAGAGTATAGGGCTGTTATACATAGAGTCGCTATGAGTAGCAGGCAACTCTACGGCACATAACAACAACAATAGCAAAAACTTCCTGCCTGTCCACCACATGTTGAAGGTATCGCTCTCCTGAAACACTGTAATATTGATCACGTTTTGAACCAGTAGATGATAAGCAATTTCTTCCAGGTATCAAGGGTACTTTATAAGAAAAGCAGAGCATTTGTTTTTCTTAGTATTTTTGAAAAATCAATGCTACTGTCTTGAGACCTTTGAATAGAAATGTTTTCTTTGCATTGAGACTCCCCCACCCTTACCCCACCTTCAGTCTTGGTATTTTAATACAAAATTTACCTTTATTTCCCTACAGTACATTTTTTTTCCTTTATTTTCCTCCCAAAATGAGGACATGTGAGTCAGGGCGATGGCAGTACCCTGTTCCATGAAGCCTTCTGTACCTTTTCATCTGTGCTCATCTGTCTGTGCTCCTAGAGCTTCTAGCTCTGTTTTAAAACCATTCATCTCACCTCACTTTATATTATAACAAAGAAGCCCTGGAGGTGTAGTGTGTAATATATTGGAATGCTAACCAGATGGTCAGTTGTCCAAATCCACCAACTGCTCCTTAGATTACTGATGAGCAGTCTCCTCAGATTTATAGCCTGGGAAACTGTCAGCGGGTCACCATTGGAATTGACACGACAGACCCTCATTGCTGGCCAGGTGGGATCCACTCATGTTGATGCATCAGCGGGTTTTCAGAGGTCGTAAATCACACAAGAGGAGGTTGCCTGGCCTTGTCTCATGGAGCAGCTGGTGGATTCAGAGGACTTGCCTATGAGTTGGCAATGCAACTCCCCATTCACTAGGCCACCAGAGCTCCCTTGACTTGACAGTAGTGAATTTATGTTGTCTTTAGATATTCAGATATATTTTTCTGATAAATTGTATTACACACACTGTTTTATATCTCACCATAGTATTTGGCTTATGGTGTGATTCAATAAACACTTAATGAATTAACAAGATTCACTCACGGGTCTGCGCCTTCTTGAACCAGCTAATGTTTTGATTCCCAGGTGAAAAAGAATGTACCATTTCTAGTTTTATCTCAGAACAACACACTGGCAGTCGAAGGCTCTTGAAGGGTAAGCCAGAGGCACCCTCTAGTGGCCTGTGAATCTTCAGAGGGATTTTGGAGGAATTGAATATATGACGCTGGTAAGAGGAGGATGTTGTTGCTAGGCACCATTGAGTCGACTACAATTCATGGCGACCCTGTGAGCAATGGATCTGAACCCCGTCCTATCCTTTGCCGTCCTCACACATCCTGACTCACTAGAACCCAGTGCAGCAGCCCCTGTGTCAGTCCACCTGGTCGAGGGTCTTCCTCTCCTTAGCTGATCCTTCACCTTTCCAAGCATCATGTCTCATAGCCCCCCAAGCAACATGCCCAAAGAATGTGAAAGGAAACCTTATCATTCTTGCCTCCAAAGAACATTCTGGCTACACCCTCTCCAAGACATAATTGTTTATTCTTTCGGTGGGCCATGGAATGTTCGGTGTTCTTCTCCAACACTACAGCTCAAAGGCTTCACATCTTCTCCTGTCATCCCTATTCATTGTCCAGCACTTAGATGCATAGCAAGTGATCAGAAAGACCATGGCCTGAATTAGAAGTTCTCTAATGCTCAGACTGACATCATTACTCTTCAATAATTTGGAGAAGTCCCTAACTTCAGACTGTCTCAGTGCTCAGTGTCTCCTTATTTCCTGACTGCTGGTACCAAGGGTATTAATTGTGGCTCCAAGTAAGATGAAGTAAGAGGGGGATTGAAAGCCTTATTTATGTTTGCTTACAGAGCCCAGAACCATCT